AAAAAGTTTGTAGGAAACTTTGTTGCTTACCATCCGATCATCCTCAAACTCATTTCCAAAGATATTTGAGTGAATTTATTTTATACGGGCAAGCCCAGGGTATACCAGCTTGTTTTGTATATTATGTCACATGAATACGGTGCCAATACAGGGTATTAACGAGTCACATAAGGTGCGTTTCTAATGCGCTTGCCAATGTTCATTATAAATACAGAAATACATTTACCACAGAAATTAAATAAATAAAATTTTCGTAATTACCGCGAATATTTTTCCTATAAAAGCATTTAAATGGAGTTGACAGATGCACATATTTGCAGAAATATTTATTAAGTTGAATTGAACAAAATATAAATTAGTTTCGTCGTGTTTTTATACCCTATATAAATAAAATGTACCAGCAACTTACATGTCAAATAAAAAAGAGATAGAACATAGAACATTTGGTCAATATTTATAGCTAAAAGTAAAGTAGAAACTTGTAGTAAAAGCGTGAATAAGAATTAAAGCTAATGTTTAAAAGTCAAGATTATTAAGATTGAAGTAAAGATATAAGTAATTCACATATAAATCTAAGTTAATAAATAGACAGACCGAAGACACGCTTACAGTTTTCAAAAAATAACTCTACAACTAACACTAAAGAAATAGCTATGAACATTGTTATATGTGGACTTTTATCTAGAGCAGCAAACAATTCCTTTGTCGTGGGAATAAATAACAAAATGGCCGTCAGTTAGCTTTCAACTGGCAACTGATGACATATTATTTCTTATTGTTGTTGTTGGCTTTGTTTTCCATTAAACAATTGATGCTGTGCTGCTGTCGTTGCCTTGTCCTTGTGCTTGTTGCGACTACACATATAAATTATATTTTAATAAGAAAACAAACGAAAAATTCAATGGCGCCATAAAGCATAAAAAGACGCTGAAAAATACTTAAGCACGTGCGTGTCTGTGACTCTGTGTGTGTGCTGGAAAAACAATAAGCGTGTGTTTGACGCACAGAGTCACAGGCAAAAAGAAAAGTAAACAATGAAACATTTTTGGAAACGAAACGGAAACAAGGCATAGGAAAACGCACGCCGACGACTCGATTAAGTAGCATAAAGTGATGATAAATGCGACATTGAGCAACAATAAATTTTGCGTTTGCCCTTGTTCTGCTCTCCATTCCAGCCGTTGTTTGTTGTCGCTGTTGTCGCTGTTGTTTGCTGTTCGCTGTTCTTGTTGTTGTGTTATTGTGTTTTTTCCTAGCAGTGCTTGCCATTGACGTGTTTGACTTATTGATGCTGCGTGCCGGGATTACCGAGGGCCCAAGCGGCGTATGAGCGACATCGGAACGGCCGAGCATAACGCTGATTATTAGCATTTTGATGTCGCCGACATGTGCTTGGGTGAGTGCAGACTTGTGTCTATAGCCGTATAGCTGTATAAACATATAGCCACATAGCTGTGTTTAGCTGTCTGCGTACTGTTTATGTTTATATTTTCGCTGCTCATTCAATTGTTTTGCTTATGGTAATTTGAAATTCATTGGCCAGGGCCCAGAACCGACAATCGTATCGGCTTTATGGCACTGCAGCAGCATTAAAGCTTAAATTCAATTTGCATTTCAATTTCGAATTCAATTGAATCTTCCATAATCTCTTCGTTTGAATACATCAAATTTGTCCAGCATCAAGTACGTCATTAGAAACGTAAACAATTCATGAATTTCTGCTTAAGGCCGAGCCTGGCCCAGAACAAGTTCTTTCCACGGCCGTTTGTTCTGACATTTGAGCCACTTACACGCTGCATCCGAGGCAATTTTTCAGCTTCATTGCAGGCAATGCATTCGCGCGATGGTAAAGGCAAAAGTTTTCCACTTAAAAAACGCCGCAAAGTTGCCTTAACGCTTGCGAACAGCCCCGAAGTTGGCTATGGGAAGGATTGCAAAATTTGTTGTTTGCTTTTATTTTGCTGGCAATGCTCCATTTGCTTTTTGCGAGTTGCCGCAAGTTGTGGCACTTGCCACCACCAGCGAGACGAGCCGAAGCTGTTGCTGAGCTTGAGACTACTTTGGCTAACATTGTGCAGCACTTGCGCTTTAAATATTGCATTAAGTTGGCGTTGACTGAACCGAAACGGAAACGCAAGTAAATGCACAGAAATACATTTAAATCTCGGAGGCAGAGTGCAGCCCACACCACACTTAGGTAGACGCCCTTTATTGCAGTTGCAGCTGCAGTTATGGTCGATGAATAAGGAGCAGCTTTATTGAATATCATAGAATTGTTCCTATTAGCAAAGGCCAGGGTACACACTCGATGGTCAGGCAATTGCTTAATTGCAGCTTAAGCTAACTTTTGCCAACCCTCCCCCCTGCCTCACCATTCCTGTGGTCACCACCTGCTAGGTCGGCCGGCCAACTGGGGAACTGGCTTGCTTGTTGTTGGTACATAAAATCTTGCCCGGCCTTCACTTAAAGTCATTGCCTGTAATGACTGGAATTTGTGGTTGCCCTGATTCGAGATGAGGTGGCCAGCACATGGCACTTGCTGCCCGCCTGCCCTTCTGACTGCACAGATATATGCCGGACTTCCACTCAAGCGAAGCCCTTAAGCCGAAGCTGGCACTAAAAGCGAGCAGCTAACTAGGGATTTCAAATCCTGTATATAGCCTAGCAGTGTTAGGTGCTGCTTAAATGCAGTTCAAGTGATGTTTTTCCAGGCCCTATTTGCCAGCCGCAAATAAACCTGCTAATAGTACAAATATTGTGTTAAGACAGCAACAGCAACAACAACAACATCAATGACTGAAACAAGTGTGCTTTGATTTTTATTTTGTATAGTAAATAAGCAAAATAAGATAAATTTCATGTTACACGATGAGCGAGTCAAAGGCGAAGGATGCGATTGAGCAGGTGGAAGACTGCACGTTGCCTGCTGATAACAAACTGACGATTGGAAAGCTGTAAGTAAACTTATCAGCTAAAAAACAAGCAGCGCTAGCAAAGAATTATTTGCAGAGATGTAAAGACACTGAAAAAGGTTACCGAGAGTTGCCGAGAATGCCCGGAAAACGCTTATACGCCTTTGGAGCCGCGTACTCTCGATGAAATGGGTTTCATATTTGATGAGTCTATCAAATGTCACCTTATATGTGATCAAGAAAATCTGAAGGCTGCTATTGCCAAAGTTGTGGAAGATCGCATTTACACCGATGTCCAGGTGAAAGTGCATGGTCACATTTTTGATTGCCATTTGGCCGTGCTGCATGTGTCCACGGAATACTTTAAGCAGTTCAGCTCAACGAACTTAATAGTTCTCAACGAGCCGGAGGTAACGAAAATTGGCTTTGAGAAGGCCTATGAATGGATGACCAAGCAGGACGCAGGGCCCCAGCGCGAAGGGATTGTGGACTTATATCTGACAGCGCGCTTTCTGAAAATGCCGCCACTGATAAACCAGCTGTGGTATTGCTTCGAAAATATCGAGTTCTTCCGCGAGGGAGAGGCCTTCAAGCTATATATACAGGCCGTACCCTATGAGACGAGCACATTGCAATCCCTGCTGCTGACGCGAATAAGCCGCTTCTTTTTATCTGCAGTGGCGACAATCGAGTATCTGCAGCTGAAACCGGAGCAAATCTATGACATGCTCAAGACGAGCATCATCAGCGTCAACTCTGAGATGGAGGTCTTTATGAGCGCCTTTCGCTGGATGATGTACGACTGGGAGGCGCGGAAAGCACATACCGAGCTGCTTATGAAAGCCATTAGATTCAATCTGATGCCAGCCTGGTATATACTCTCCCTGAAAACGAAGCAGACGCTGCCAGAGCTGAAGGAACTGCTCGACAATCCCGTCGTGCAGTCCGCGATCAATGTGGGCCTTTCGTATACGGTGACACAACATTTCATGAATTCCGATTCCGCGTTGCAGGAACCATTGCAAATGCAGCAAGCACAGCAGCGTGAATGGATCATCGATGATATCGCGCCCCATCATCATATGTACAAGTGCCCCAATTGGCAGTACTTGAACTATGAGCTCTTCAATGTCTATCTCGAGCAGGTCATCACTGCTGGACCGCACTTTTACAAAACCCTAAAGTCTTACAAGCCCTCGAATTTGATGCCCTGCTGCCAGGCGGTGGTTCAAAATTCCAAATATATATCGGATATGTAATTTTCTCTAACATTTCACCAATCGATTTGCCAATTCTCATTTACTAGGGGGACTCTAGGGTTAGCTGCTTTGTGTGAGCGCTGCAGGTCAAAAACACACCCTAGGGTGCTATTTAATTGCTACAAATAAAATTAGTAGCCCGAGCAACTGCTGGGGCCGCCCTTCGAGCTTTGCTATCACATTGGCATTTAGCGATTCCAATTAGCTCAATGGCAGCCATTTGCTGAATTAATAGTTAACGCTTATGAACTAAACGTCGCGACCTCGCATTGTGTGTGCGTCTCAGTGTGTACGTGTGTGTGTGCCTGTGTGTGTGTGTGTGTACATTGAACTTATTTATGTTTGCCAAACACTAGCAATATACAGATACAGTCACAACACTTTAATAATTGTGTATGCAGGCGGTAATCAAAAACATGCAAAAATTTAAATAAACATGGAAGTCACAACAAAAGCACCAACAATAAAAAACTATTGTTCAAATATTTTGATAAAAATATCACAATTAACAACTGCTGCACATTTCGAAAAAATATAATTCATTTGCACTTGATTCTGTATTTGCACAGATTTCAACTGTGTTTTTCCGGATTTCCTGAATTATGCACCGCTCATTTTTTTCCTGAATATATTTCTGTTTTAGATTTGCAAACTTATTTCGTAGGCAAGGTTGTCTTTAAATTTTGAAAATTGTAGGCTGTCATTTGTAAGGATTCGAAAGGATTAAATTGTCGCTATGTAAAACGTTTTTAGCCGGGGGAACTATAGAAACTTATGGAGAACACAATCGCCCAACACCAAAGAATAGCAGGCCATATGATTTTTACGGAAAACTTTTAAAATCCATACATAACATTACATATTCAAACTCAAGTCTATTATTTTATTGGTATGTAAAATGGTTTGTTGTAATTCGTATGATGCCATTGAAAATAACAAAAAGAAAAACTCATTGATCATCGTATTTCGTAGCTCAAAGAAAAAACGATGTATTAAATTTGGGATTATGTCATATTATTTTAAATGTCTGCAATTGACCCGCCATCGATAAATCAATTACTGGGCATTCACTGGCGATTATCAGAGATATTAATCTCTTCTTTTTTCGATTTCAAGCACAGATATATAGTGGAAAGTAGCAAAAAGGATGCACCAGCGACTGTCAAAGTCGACTGCCTGTGCACATAATGATTGATGAATGCAATTAAAAGTGGGGAAAGTAAAAAACAAACGATGAGTCCAGATGATCCGACTGCAAGAAAGTCTGATAAACTAACTTGTCGCTGCCAATTGGTTTTTACCCTATTAACTAGACCTACAGCGAAGCTGTCCCGCCTAAGAATTGTGTGATGCTCATGGGAACATAACAATGCATTGCCAATATATTCATTTTATCTTTAATCCCATTCCCGAATCTACTACTAGCCATAACAAAAGCAAATTCAATTTGGCTGCTCATTGGCAAGAATAACAGCAACAACAAATGTGATAAGCCTATTGTGGTTTTGTTTGGTTCTTTAATTGGCATCACACCCCACATACACACAGACAAACTCACACACATACTTTGGCACTTTGGTAAGCGGGACATGCAACAAACAAAAGCGGCTTTACTTTTCATGTTTTGTGGCGACTGCGTTTTGAGGCGCCATTACTCACAGCTCTGAGAATGGCATAACGATGCCGCTGGCACTGACAGTAAGGGATGCAGAGGCTGGCCGAGGGGGGACTAACTATTAGCTGGCATTTCGCTGGCACGCAAAGTTTTCTGCAATTGTTTCAATTGTCAAACCGGCAGCCAAAGTTGCCGAAAAGTTTTCGCCTGCTCTGCCGTAATTAAAGTGCCCCAACGTCAAGGCTGGACTTAAAGCCGAATTCTCTAATTAACCATTTCTAATTGGATATTCCTAAGCGATTGCCGTATTTCAATTAAAATACACCCTGATAAGACATCGAACTTTTCAATTTATTATGCAACCGATTGTATCTTGATTAGTTATATATGTGTGTATTGATGTATGTGTGATGCATTGTTTTAATTGTCGCAATCAATAGAAAAGAATCTATTGCTTTCCTCAAACTGAAAGTATTCGAAAATCGGATTTAAGGGCAAGCACAGGGTAGAGCTCTATTGATAGGGACCCCATTTAAGTCATATTAGTTATGATTGGAGTGGAAATTTGGCGCACTTCATCTGCTATGGCAACCACAGCTACAAGTCTGAATAATTCGCTTATTGCAATTAAAAGCAATTATGCTCGATGTTCTGGAAACCACAAACTCATTAGCTCGGTACACCAAAACCACAATGCAGCAAAACGCTTAGCCACAACAACAACAAATACCAGCAGCAACAGCATTGCTACCCTACACAAATACACATACACATTATGTACACGGACACACGGGGGGCTGGGGGGGAACTCATTTACATACTCGGGATTGACACGGGGCAGGCATTGAATTCTAAAAGCTCGATCGCCTTTCAAATTGCAAAACTTGAGCCACTTTTCATGGTAAACAATTTTTTTTGGCCACATCGTTTTTGGAGATGTGTATGTGAAGTGTCCAGTGAGTGGTCGAGGTGGTTGAAATGTTTGGTTAGAAGGTTTTATGCATATGTCAGACATGTGAGAAATTCCATTAGGAAGTTTTCTTTGTTTGCATAACATTTGCATCTCTAACGGAAAATAAAACTATTTATTTGTGGCCAGAATGGGTCGGTTTGTGTTCGCACAGATTTTAAGTGTGTCTCTATGTTTGTGTATATGGTCAGCCAGACCTAGAATTTTATTATTATTATTATTTTGTAATGGCTTTAAGTGTGTGCAAAGCCAGAGCAAAGAAAAAATCATTTGCATAAAATCGATTAAAACATTTCCAACAAATCGAATGCATACTGAACGCAAATGAATACAAAAAAATCAAAACCAACTTTATGCGGCCCTTTGTCGTCCAAAATACTTGCCCTTTGCTTATAGGTAGGCATCCGCTTTGTCATCAGCTGAGCAGTAAATAATACAAACTCACTTTTAAGAACCCAAGCACACATGCGCATACACACATTTCGACATTTTAAATGCTTCCTTTTAACAAAAGGAGCTTACATTTAAAATGGGTTAAACACAACAAATATTATGTTATGTGTTGCAAATATTTGCAAAAAGGGTTACGCTTTGTAAATGAGCTTTTAAGTCCTTGGATTATTGGCACGCATATTGTGATGTATTAACAAAAAGTCGAACTATTAATAAAATACAAAAGCATGAATATATGAATATATATATATTATATAAAGGAATAGAGAATAAGCCACCAAATATATTATACTGCAAATTTGCTGTTGTTGAGCAATATCCAGAGACCTTAAATGCAATGCAACCTAATTACCACGCTTGGCGTCATCAACTTGGAGTTGAGTCTGCCTGTTGGATATATTTAAATAATATACACAATTCTTACCAAATTTTTTTCGATTTATTTGTGCAGTGTATTATATTACAAATAGTTAATATGAATCTTAAGTTATTTGCGTTGATTTATTTGTTATCTAAAACTTTCCTAAATATGAGTTATACATATCTCTAAAACAAATTGATTTACAACTGAATTGGGCCTTAGCTGGATCCGCCCACTCTGCATTGAATGCAAGCCAGAAAGCAAGTTATAAGAGTCAACTACGCATAGTTGTGTAAATTGTGATAAATATCTGACGAGGATGTGAATGTGTTGCCTTAAGTCAGTTTAATAAGGATTTGGGCAGGCGAATCTAGTTGCTAAGATGTGCAAGGTTGACGTGGCTCGTTGAACATCGTTTATGGCGAAAATGGATACGTAATTAGATTATGCAAACAAATGTCAAAGTTATTTGTGTTTCATTTCTTAAGCAAGCAAAGTTAATTAATTAGTGTACAACTTTAAGCTGGGCCAGGCAGAAAGGCAGACAGACTGCTCAGCTTGCCAGCAAATTCTTGCTCTCAGCATTGGCATGAAATTACAATAATTTAAGAACTTTTGCTTCAGCTCACTTAAGAACTCAGTCAATGAGCAATGGCTGCAGCATCCGTGCAACTACTCGTAGGACCAGGTCCCTGTTAAGGACAAGTACTATGATGAAGCTCGGAGGATGCACTGTTCGCTTGGCGGCATTAATGGTAACTTAAGCTCTTGCTGGATGTTGCGACAATAGCAAAAACAACAAATATGTCAAATATAAAAGACGAAGCCAGGCCCCCCTCACTGGGACGGAGCTGAGACGGCCGCAATGCCACAACTCGTCTGTCAAATGCAAATTCAAAAGACAAATGAAGATGAAAATTAACGCGTATTTGGGGTGCATGCCAAGCTAAGCCAAACAAAGTGCAACACCATGAGATATAACTCCAGACACTGTTCGAGAAACAATTGGAGAGGGATTTTATTGTCGGTTTTTGTTGGCACTGCTAATGAAGCATCAGTTTAGCGGCCTTTGTCGCTCTCAAATGTCAAACCCCAAATGCAAATGCAGTGTGCATCCGAATAGGGAAAGTTTTGGCGGCCACAACAAACTACAAGATACAAACTTGAAGATATAAAATGAAAGTCTGTATTCGCATTGCCGTTTGGCCACTTTAAAGTGCGGATGCGGCCGCAAGAGCTACGAAAGATACGCAGCAAGCAAAAAGAAAATTGCTTGCAATAAATTTCAAATTAAATAGAAATTTGCAGCGCCAACTGCGAGCAAGGAAAAAATGCAAATCTCTGCTAATTCTTATAAATTATTAAATAAGAAAAAGTCAAATGATTCATTTTTAAGCTGCACCCTTCATCACTAAAGCTCAGCTGGCAGCTGCAGAAAAAATGACCCAGGCCAGCAGCAGCAGCCAGAAAAGCTAGAGAAAAGCGCTGCGAATAAGAGTAGAAAATGCCACGCAAGGACACAAACGCAAAATGCAATGCTGCTGAACAAGCAATGCAGCATCGCCTGCGCACAAGTATATGTACTTATGCATATGTGTTGGGGCTGTGAATTGTGTTGTGCGTGTGTGTGTGTGTGTGACTCATATATGTGCCAGTGTGTCCAATGGGCATGCATTACTTAACATCAAACTGCGAGTGAAATAATGCACAAATGCGTTGCTTGATGTTGGTATTTATTCAAATTTGCCAGCCGATCCCCTCATCAATATGTATGCTAATCGCCACTATTTACACTCCATGCACTTTGTATGCTCTTGTAGAGAGTATTCCACTATTGTCATGAAATAGAAGTAGAAATCCCCGACCCCATTAAGCATATACATATATATATTCTTCATTAGTATCAACGACAGAGCTAAGTAGCCATGTCCGTCCGTCCATCTATTCGTCTGTGTGTTTTTGTGCAAGCTAGACTTTCAGTTTTAAAGCTAATGTCATAAAACTTTGCAAAGGTCTGTCTTGCAGGCAGTACATGTGTCAGAACCGGCCGGACCAGACACCTAATTCATATAGCTGCAATATGATCGGTGGTAATCAAGTGCTTGTGTGAAAAACTACTTTGTTTTCAAGATATCTTGCCCAAATCCGAAACATCAGTCTACAACATATTCTTGTCGCATAAAAGATCGATAAGAGCTAAGTTCTTGTCTGCAAATCTTTTTGTTTTTCAAGATATCTTAACAAAACTTAGCATTAACAAGTTTTATTATTGTTCCCTGAACCCATTGAAAGTGGGTTAAAAGGCTAAATTACTTTTAGCAAATGTATGTAACCGGCAATATATATATATTCTTGATCAGCATCAATAGTCGAATCGAATCCTGTCCGTCCGTCTGTATGTATGCACCCTTAGAACCAATGAACTAAAGACATGAATGTAGTTCCTTCTAGTGATTATTTATCGAATACTTGTCGCGTTGTTAAGCTGTTGGTAGGCATCGATATTGAAATCCCCTTTTTTAATCAAATTTGTAGACTCTCGTTTAGTATATTTTAATTTTTGGATACACTCACCAGCTTAAGCCACGATTTCAAGGCTAAATTCTTTTTGAGAATATACGAGTATTCTTTGGCACATGAAAATTAACTGCAGAAAATTTCATCAAGATCGGTTAAGGAACACAGAAGTTTTAATAATAAAACGTGTGGCCAAGAGCAAGATTTAATGTGTACATGTGCACACACACATTCGCATGCGTATGTTCCTCTTCGAATTCTTTTAAAAGAATTGCGATTGCGATTGTATTGTATGCTGTGCTATGTGTTTGTGCAGCTATTTTAGTTCGTTTTTTTACGTTCAAACGGAATGTTAGCGCGATGTTAAGGTATAAGACGATGGCAATTAGTTCGTTTGGTTGAAGGGGATGCGAGTTCGGAGCGAGCAGATGTTTTATAAAGCTTTACCCATTAAATATGTGAAAAAGTCAAAAGTATATTCTTTCTGCTAAAGCTTAGCAAGCGAAATCTGTTTATGGTAAGTGCTCATGTGCATGTGTGCCTATGTATGTGTTAATGAACATCAGCATGTATTGCATTTA